GATGTTCCTCCTAAAAATGGTACAATAACATTCACAGGATTTCAAGAAACAGCATTTGATAGATATTTGGTCTTCACAAGTAACGGAACATCTTTATCGACAGTTACTTCTAATATTAATGAGTTTGCTGGTGGACCCAATGCTGGTACTAAATTTGATAATAAATCAGCTTTCGTCAGCGCATTTAAATCTTCTCCACAATTTGAATTTGCTGTAGATATATTTAATAAAGCATCTACAGCATCTTCGATGGCATTTATGACACATGATGCCAAAAATGTAAATGATGCATGTTTGATTGAAACTAGTCTTGTACCATACCTTTCTGGATCAAGTATTTCACATACGGATTTTGCTACATTTTCTAATTCTACTGATTTCTTAATGATATGGAAAGCTCCACGTGGCGTAACTCTTGATGAATTAACTAATGCTAATAGCACCAATCAAACAAGTGTTATTGGACCAAAAGTTACAAAGATTTTAGAAACTTTAGGGTATGTATTTTTTTTTTTTCTTATATTCTACTTATTATTTTCTTTTAACGTTATATGATAATAATAAATTTTTATAATTATAATAGATATAAAACTGCCAATAATCCTAATCCTTATAAACCAAATGCGCCATCTTTAGATGAAAATAAACAAGATGAAGATAATAATAACCAATAACAAAATAGTTGAATTCTATACTTATTAATTCTGTCTACCTATTTTTCAAATTCTTTGAACATTTTCATCAGAACAATTTTATCTTATTTGGTGCACCATTAATGTATAATTTCCTTAATGTTTATATCTTATTGTATAAACATGTTTTTAATAAGCATTAAGTATGATAAAATGGTGTCATAAAAAAATTATGGTAAAACTTAATTTAAAGAATGGTTTTAATTTTTAAAAATAATTTATATTTTGTTCTTTTAAAAGTCCAATGAAACAATTTTAATAATTCCAAAGAAACTTTTAATAATAAAAAAATTTAATAAATCTAATAATAATATAATATAAAAAAAAAATTCTACCCGTTACAGGTTACACAATTAACCCTATATTTCTTATCAAATCTTATGTTCATGTTTTTAAATATGAAATATGTGTAAAAACTTTTAAGAATCATACGCATTGAAATCCAAGAGTATACTGGTACAATCCTACTACAAACATATGCTGGCTCCAGTATCGGCTTTGGACATACGTATCTAATTGCCCAATTGGCTCTTTGCATTTATACGATAGTGATAGTAAGTATATGATATTTTAAGTCGAGCTTAGTCAAATTTTTGAATCGTATATTTACATGTCTTTATATCACTGGTAGGTCTACCGATTTATCTAAACTGGCATTGAAGTTATAATCTTTACTATAACTTTTTTATACAGTATTATCATGACTAAGTTACGACATTTCTATGTCTAAAAAATGATGGACCAGATGATTATAAATAATATTTTTTTTTATATTTGTATTTAAAATAATTTGTGTAGTATAAATCCATGGACAAAGAAAATTATTTTTTTTTTAATTATAATCTAATAATCTTTAATGGTCAAACTAACAATGCTTCGTTAATTCTAGTGGTCATTATGTGTTTTTTAGTCAGTCATTTAATAAACATTTTGCATAAATATAGATTGTAAATATAGATGGTATAACAAAGACACAAAATTCCTTGTTAAGCAAAGCATTTATGACTACGTAGAAATTTTATTTATTAATTCTCCATTTAATTTATAATGATATAATTTTGCATTATTAAACTTTGTTTCTGATAATTATGACAAAATATTTACTGTATATCGGTAGGTAATATACAGTATCTTTTATATATTTAGAATATTAACGATAAACATTAGATCAATATTTCATTAAATGGGCAATATTGTCGAAAACATATTATTAAAGATGACTAACTATAAAGCATCTATTCATTTTCAAAAATCTGTTAAAATAACTTTTAAAATGAAAGATTCTGATGGAATGTAGTCTAATTGGCTTAATGGAATAAAGATGAACATAAGTTATTCAATTATTATAGAATCTGTTGATGTGGGCTATGTTATGAAATGTTTACCGGATCTGGAATTAAAAGGATGAGCATAAGGCATGTGGTTAATGCTAGCAGGAATGTAATGTTACTTTAATGAAATTGGAGTTGAAAGGGATGAACATA